CAGTACATAAAAACAGAATTATATACGTACAACCAAAATTAGAAAATAATATACATAAAAGGTGGTAATTGTTCTATGGTGTTAGGTAAATTATTGTGTGAAGCGAGTAACATTAACACGTACCTATACGATGGACAATATTACTGCGAGCTGGGCCCAATGACGTAACTTTTTTCAACTCCTCGTAACTTATTGAATAATGTTAATAACGTTAAGCCTATACCATTATTCTTAGAATTTAACATTATTTAAAATTAAAAAGACTTATTTTTTGTGTTTTGTGCTCCTTTAACACATTACACATCCACTAAAACAGTCACTATTACTCAATGATGTGGTACCTATACTCAGGACATCAGCTCTACTATACAGCAAAGTGCAGACCAAAAATATGGAGTTTTTTTTTAAATTGTCTATATTTCAATTTATTAATTGATTAACTTCACAACATTAATCAAATAAAATCATTGTTAGACAATAGACATTCTATGAGGATAGCTTAATATTGTGTTGTTATTATTATTAAACAAATTCTCTAATTTTCACATCATCGCATAAGTATTAAACAAATCTATAGTTATTAGTTAATATACAGTTAATTATTTTTTTTTTAAATTTTGTATACATTACCGCTAAAACTGGACAGCTATTATTATACATATTATAAGCTTCAACTATTGAATCCCAGGCATTTCCTAAAAAATTCTTCAAACTAGTACATGCATTCTTTGTTATGTAAACCATTGAATTCGGTTTCCAACCACCAATTAAACTCCAAGACGCAGCGTTTATTTCAAGCTACAAACAAAATAGTATATTATTTTAGGTGTTATGAAATAAGAAAATATTCTATTCAAGTAGAAATAAAAATCAATTGTTCTTTCACTTCATTCAAAAAATAAAAATAAAAATATAATAGCAACTTTTAGATAGGTACCAAAAAATATTCATTCTACGTCTTCACTAGAGCATATAGTAACTTCAGCAAAGACTTAGAGATACATTGATAATGATTTATGTAAAATATGTATTCCGTGAAAAAAATATATTGGTTAAAAATTTAAAACTTAAGTAATTTCTACTCAATAATTGTATGATAAATATTATTTATTTCAGAGATATACATTTTGACCTATTTATGATTTAACCACCTAATTGAATAGGTAGGTATGTAATATATGAATTAACTATTGTGTTATGTACATAATTTTATTATCCGATATAATATTATACTTACCGTAAGAGTATCGTCCAATGGTATCAAATATGTGAAATTCCCTTTCATCTCAGTTATGTTTGATGTCTTTTTACTAAAATAAACATTATATTGAATAGAATTTGTCGATGATGGACAAGGATATCCTTTCTCAAATACCATACGATATTTTCCCTGTAATATAAAGTTAATAAATACGCATATTGATATAAATCCCTTAATTAAAATATTATGCTATTCATTATAGAAGGTAATTATAGAAAATATAAGTAATGTTAAATAAATCAACCAGAATATTAACTTACCAAAGGTAAGTTGGGCATAAAACTGGTTTTTGATTTTGTTAAATAGAAAAATCCTATTAGAATGCACAGTTTTATTAATATCATTTTTTTGATGATGTTAATTTATTTCAAAAATGATCGAGTATTTTATCATTTGTCAACATAGTAAGAATAACTGTTATGAATTATAAAATATTTCATACATTTAGAATGACTGACATGCTTGAGCTGTAACCTCTAAAACTTGTCGGAAATATTTATAGGTGTTATTATATTTAATCTCGAAAGAGGAACAAAGTGGGTCCGGAAATGATATTTTGACACATTGCAACTGAATACGTGTTACGATTGTTTTAAATAAAATCTCGTTTTACTTTTTTTTTTTTCATACAATATCTATCTATTCAAATAATCTCTTAACAAAGAACATTGTTTTAAAATAATACATTTTTTCAACATCTATTCCTAGTATGAATCTAGAAAAAAAAAGGCAATTAAAAAAAAATCAACGGACAAAAAAAAAACAAATGAAATAAAAGGACAAGGAAAAAAAAGCAAATGAAAAAAAGGCA